GCTGCTGCTGCTGCTGCTGCTGCTGCTGCTGCTGCTGCTGCTGCTGCTGCTGCTGCTGCTGCTGCTGCTGCTGCTGCTGCTGCTGCTGCTGCTGCGGCTGCTGACCGGCGTCCGCAAACGATGAGCTCCCCTCCTGCTGCTCAAAGTATTCGTGCGGCACGTGCGCTGCTCCGTCGAGCATCGCGTGGTCCTCGTTGATGGCGTGAGGAGTGTTGCTTGGCTCCGGCATGCCGGCTGCGCGAGCCTCTTCGATCTGCTCGATGCCGCCATGCGCTGCAACAACCTCCTCTTCCTCCTCGTCGGAGTTCAGTCCCAGCTCGGCTGCAGCCAGCCGCCGCGACTCCATGCGGCGCAGTGCGCGACGCTTGTTGCTGCCCATGCTGCCGTGACGTGTTTGACGAGGAGTTTGCTGCGTTTGGCGACCAGTGTGCTTGTAGACCTCGCTGGTGTTAGTCGGCAATGACGGACGAGTGTACGGATGCGGCTTGGGGTGGCGATGCCGGCCTGTCATGCACACGCGGCGGCGTATCGAAGACGCAGGTCCCGACGAGGTAGGCTGACGCGCCACGTGGCCTGCTGCCCGGTCGTCAGCAAGGGTGAGAGAGGAGATGATGATCAGGCACTCACGCTACGCTCGAGGTTCTCAGTAGACCAATGCGTAGCGGAGATCTACTGCGCACTTGAACTGTCTGCGAATCGTCAGTGGTGCAGCGAAGAACGTCAAGGGCGGCAAGGGCACTCACAGCGACGCTGGGCTCGATGAGATGTTCTCTGTGCTTAAAAGACAGCAGCGCCTCCTCTTCTTAAGCAAGGGTTCTAAGCCTGAGTGCGAGCCGGGACTGAAAGCTGAGGAGCTGGCGGCGACGGCGATGTCGCGAGTAGATGGAGCAAGGGCGAAGTCAAAGACGAGGAGCTTGTGTGAGGGAGAGAGAGTGTGGCAGTCGGGACGATGAAAGGGGAGAGTGAGAGTGTGAGTCGGGATGACGAAAAGCGAGAGCGGTGGTGGTGGAGAGAGGAGAGAATTCGCAGCGCCATCAGCGGCTTTTGGGCTTGTGTGGGCCTGCAGCAGCGCCTCAGCCATCCGACGCCGCGCTCTCTGGCATAAGTCGCAGCACCTCGGCTGCCTTACAGGCTGCACAGCAGCCGCAGCAAAAAAAGTGGCGCACAAGCGGCTGAGGATAGCGTACTGGTTTGTCAGCTGCATGCTGCATCCTCATATGCGATAGCGCATGCCGTACGCTACCTGAGCGACAGCGCTCGCGCTGCCGCTCTGCAGCTGCGGCGCCAAAGCGCAGGCATCGAAAGCACGCTGAGCTTGTCGAAGCACACTCATCATTGCCCTTGCGGCTTGCCACGTCAGCAGCCCCAGGCGGCCCACGTTGTTGAGAATTCAGTCACGACGTTAGCGCAGACGTCGTTTCATTTCGGGCTGAGCCTGCATCTGGCGTCCGTCTGACAGGACGCAGCATCAGACGTGCCATGCGAGGGCGTCCCTCACCAGACTGGTCACGCGCGTCACAGATTGCGAGCATGCGCCGCTGCGCCCTCTCACGTCCTCCAGTCGCTCCCTCACATTCAGCCAGTAGAGTGATCAGACTTTAAGGTCACGGGAAGGTATGTTATTGGGCATCCTGATCAAAGCGCACCGACGTTGAGCTGCACGTCGCCGCGATCGCCGCGGACGATAACTTGCACATTGCCGGCGCCGGTTACAGTCACCTGCATAGTGTTGGTGACAAGCTGCAGAGTCTGAGTCCGAGTAGCACTGAGAAGGGGCGGCGCCTCGGCGTGGAAGACGGCGGGGGCGGCGGACTCGGCGTGCTCGACGACGGCGGCGGCGGACTCGGCGTGCTCGACGACGGCGGCGGCGGACTCGGCGTGCTCGACGCCGGCGGCGACGCGGGCGACAGAGCGAGCATGCAGGCGCATGATGCCAAAGACCAGCCAAAGCAGTCTGTACGTCTGCTGCTGCTGCTGCACGAGTGTCTTGTCGTCGGCCGCGGCGGCTGCGGCTGCGGGTGCGAGTTGCTGCTCAGCAAGCGCTGCGTGGTCGACGAGCTGCGCCTTGGAGGCGGCGGAGGCGGCGGAGGCGGCCGCGGCAGCAGCGGCAGCGGATGCGAGCCGCTGCTCAGCGAGCGCTTCGTGGTCGACGAGCTGCGCCTTGGAGGCGGCGGAGGCGGCGGAGGCGGCCGCGGCAGCAGCGGCAGCGGATGCGAGCTGCTGCTCAGCGAGCGCTTCGTGGTCGACGAGCTGCGCCTTGGAGGCGGCGGAGGCGGCGAAGGCGGCCGCGGCAGCAGCGGCAGCGGATGCGAGCTGCTGCTCAGCGAGCGCTTCGTGATCGTCGGAGGACTTCTGCTGCTCCTCCTGCTGCTCTTGCACGAGCACCTTGTCGTCAGCGACGGCAGCAGTGGGTGCGAGTTGCTGCTCAGCGAGCTCTGCGTGTCCGTCGGAAGGCCGCTGCTCCTCCTGCTGCTGCTCCACCTTGACATTGTCATCGGCGGCGGCGGCAGCGGTGGCGAGCTGCTGCTCAGCGAGCGCTGCGAGTCCGTCAAAAGGCCGCTGCTCTTCCTGCTGCTGCTCCGCCTTGACGCTGTCGTCGGCAGCAGCGGCAGCGGAGGCGAGTTGGCGCTCAGCGAGCGCTGCGCAGTGATCGGACGGCTGCTGCTTCTGCTCTTGCTGCTCCGCCTTGACGTCTTCGGCGGCAGAGCGCTGCTGCAGCGGTGCAGCGTCGTGCTCTTGCTCCGGCCCAACCGCGGGCCAGACGCGACTCTTACTGGCGCGAGCTACGGCCGAATCGTCGTGAGGACGCTTGGCCGGCACCGCGGCCACGCTGCAGGCCGAATCGTCGTGAGGACGCTCGGCCGGCACCGCGGCCGCGCTGCAGTATGAGTACTCCTCCCGCAGCTGCAGCTGCGATCGACGGCCGCGGCGCGTGGTTCGGAGCGCGCGGCCTGTGGCGGTCGCCGTAGGCGCCGTCGCCGTGACGTGGGAAGCGGCCGAAGCCATGGTGTAGGTGTACGAAATGGAGTCGGGCATGTGCGAGGGTGAAGAAGGGCAAGAAATTGGCGGGTTAGTGTAGCTCGGGTGGTGGTGGCAAAGAAGAGAAGCGTGCGAGCTGCTCGCTCTCTGCCAGCTGCAGCGTGTTTGTCTGGACAGCGCTTTGTGCCGCGCTCACCATGGAGCTGCAGCGCCAAGGCCTGGACCTCGAGTGCACGCTGAGCTCGTCGAAGCACACTCAACATTGCCCTAGACCCTGCAGCTTGCCATGTCAGCAGCAGGTAGCACGCAGGCAGTGCCCTCTCGTCTGAGCGCTGAGCTCCCTCGACGTCGCAGCGGCGGTGCGGCGCAGGCGCGGACGGGCAGCGCTGCCGACGGCGGCCGCGCACGGCACGCTGTGCGGCCGCTGCGACGCTACATGCTGTGCTCTCGTGCCCCGAAGTTTCACGCACGGTGCAGCTGCTGTGCGGCGGCGGAGCGCTGACGAATTGGTGTTTTGGCTGCGCGAAGGTGGGCAGCCGGGGCAGCTTGCGCGAGAGGCCCATGCGTCGCGTCGCGCACACGCGCGCTTGCTCCGCCCAACGGCTGGCGTGTGGCTGCCTGCTGCGCGGCGCAGTCTAGTGCGGGCGCTGCTGCTGCAGCGGCGCAGCGACAGGAAGAGCGCGGGCGCATGCGCGGCGCAAGGGCGGGCAAACCTTACGCGCCGCCGCCGGCCGCGCCGCCGCCGCCCGCACGCTGCGCTGACGCTGTCAGGCGAGCGCCACGATCCGCAAAACATCGGGCCTCGTCTGCCCGCCGCGGGGACAGCCGCCGGGTATAGAAGCTCCTCTGCGCCTTCGTCGCATCTTCCCCTCTCACCACATCACCGGAAACCTCTCTCTCTCTCCTTTCGCGCCTCCGCCCTCGCCTCTCCGCCCTCGCCTCTCCACCCCACGTCCTTCCGCTCTCACACGAGCGGCGCATCTTCTCCTTGCCTCCCTCTCTCGTCTCTTCGACCCTTTCCTTTCCTCGCCATCTCTTCTGGCTCGTTCCTTATCGCAGTCGAGCTCGCTCCTGCCTTTCTTGTGAGAGCCGAGAGCTGCCTGTCCACCTCGCACGTGCTGATCGGGCTCGCAGTCGGACGCTCTCGCCGCCGTCTCTAGCACGCAGCCTGCGTCATCTGGTGCCTTCGACGTCTACTGCGCGTCCCTCCTGTGAGATGATCGGCATGACCTCACCTGCGGCGCACGCTCACACGTTCCCTTGCAGGTCGTGCTCCGTGCATCTCTCGGCGTTCTATGACCCGGCGCCGACGTCGCGGCCCGGACAACAGAAAGCAATCTCGCCTTGGACCTCCGGACCTGTCTGCCTTCAACATCCACAAGTTCACCCGAGCCCGGCTTCGCGCTCGTGTACTGGACAGCACTCGTCCGCTGTCTGACTCGCTTTCCGACATCTTTCAAGACCAGGCGATGCCGCTCAACAAGCGTCAGCGCGACCGCCGTCGCATGCTCGCTATGACGCGGCCGTCGGCCAGCGAGACGCACGCCGCGACCGATGAGGCCCGCGATGATGTGGAAGGCGGTGCGGCAGAGATCGAGCGAGAGAGGCTGGAGCGCAACGAGGACGTACCTCGCAAGCGAGTCCGCATGGCATCCGAGCCCTCGACAACGCAGTCCACTGTCCCAATGGACACCGTGCAAGCTGGACCATCATTCTCTCTGGGCTCTGCTGAGAGGCTCGCAAGACTCGGTCTCGTCGTGCCGCCGTCCGCCATCGCCTCTTCCTCGTCCACCGAGTCTCCTTCGCCAGCGGATCCGAAGCTTGCGCCGCTTCCGGCTTTCTCGAGCAGCTTGGCTGCACCATCGTCCGGCAGCTCGATCGGAACGGCCTCCAATGGCTCGGCCGGACCGTCGTTTGGCAGCAGCTCGGCTGGACCGTCTTCCGTCACCTCGGCTGGACCGCCGTCTTCCGTCACCTCGGCTGGACCGTCTCCCGCCACCTCGGCTGGACCGTCTTCCGCCACCTCGGCTGGACCGTCTTCCGACACCTCGGCTGGACCGTCTTCCGACACCTCGGCTGGACCGTCTTCCGCCACTTCGGCTGGACCGTCTTCCGCCACGTCGGCTGGACCGTCGTCGCGCATTCGCTCAGCTGCATCGTCGTCGGGCAGCTTGCCGAGACCTTCGGCGATTTTCCCGCCCATGCCTCCCTCGCGTCCTCGCGAGGAGGACGACATGTCGCTCTGCACGTCAGCCTCGGCTCGTTGGAGGCGCTCCTTTGCCGCCGAGACATGGTCGCACGAGAAGCAAGTCAGAATACTCGACCTCCTTCATGAGCTCGAGGTCAAGAACGACGATCTCGTCGCCGAGAACGCTCGTCTGACGGCTCAAGCACAGCTCGACAGCGACAGCCATCAGCTCGCGCTCGAGAAGAAAGACCTTCTCGTCCAGCAAGCCCTCGCCGAGATTCGAAGCCTCGAGGGAGAAGTTGAGGCGCGCGACCTTGAGCTCAAGCGACTCGCCGAGCAGCAGCAGCAGCAGCAGCAGCAGCAGCAGCAGCCCTGGGCCGCTCCGTATGGACAGCACAACTTCGCTCCGCCGCCGC